TTTTCTGTGTGTTCCATCTGCTCGCGCTCACCCATTTAATATGTGTTTAACCGTTTCAGTTTCAGTTTTTTCTCTCTTTTTATTCATTCGTTCCATTGGCTTGCAATTGTTGCACACACACACACAGTTCTTTTGCTACCATTTAAAGTGGTTCTTGGCGTTGTTGTTGTTTTTATTATTATTATTTGCATGAAATATGTTTTCTTTTTTGTTCGTATGTATGCTGCTAGAGGTATATTTCAATTTTATGCTTCTTTCTGGTTGTGCGAGCGTTCGCGCCCGTGAACGAACGATCTATTCAGTGTTGATTCATACGAACCGGAGCCCATACAATGCAATACACATACACACACTGATTCTTTGCGCATAGCCAAGTGGCGTGAATGCGATAGCAGAGAAAGCACAACCGAACGAACAGCGCCCGAAATAGAGGACAGAGCGAGAGATGTGAAACAAAATAAACGTTTATGCATAAATAACGCACGAACGATGCATAATATATTGTTTTCATACCAAGGCGTACAGTACAGAGCTGAAAACCGTATGTATATGCGAATATAATAATAATGCCCATAATAGTAAAGAAAGATCCGAGTTCATTGACGTTGCCGTTGTTTCTTTTATACAACCAAAGACTGAGCGATACAAGCCGAACTTTATCTATCTCGGTCTATCTCTCTCTCTCTCTCTCTCTCTCTTTCTCTCTCTCTCTCTCTCTCTCTCTCTCTCTCTCTCGCACTCAAATATACTCTATTTTGCGTGCATTGGCTCTATCTCATTTCTTCGCTTCGCTCGGTTTATGTTTTGTTTTTCTTCTTCTTTTTCGTTTTTGCTATGCGATTTTCTTGAGCCAATGCTGCTGCTCCTGCCATTCATTTGGCTCTTGATATTCGTGCACTATTAAAATTTCCGATTTGAATTTTTATTCTACATATTATTCAGAGCAACAAATGCATCTCTGGCCAATGTTTATGCTTCAATTCGATGCAGCTTTTATGTGCATGTCTTGTGGTGGTGGTGATGGTGATGGTGATTTAAAACACCTCAATCATTTGCGTTGCGGTGCATTGTATAATCGCTTTATTTCATTCGTCAATTCGTACGAACAATAATTATTATGCATTTCACTTTGGCATTCTATTCTGCTCTGCCAGCGCTAGTGTTCTTTAATTGTGTTTTTCGTTTTAATTTTCATTCACATGCACACGATTTAATCTCCGGTCTCTGCGAAATTCAATTCCACCAAAATGGTTCAATCCAAATTCACACTGCATTCAATGCAAAAAAAGATGCGTTGTTCGAATGAATGCAGATCCGCATTGTTTATGTGCTCGGTTGAATCAAATCAGTCTCTGATTCTCTTGATCAGCTCCGATTTCGAAATTAATAAACGTGTATCTGTCTGTGCGTATCTCTTTACGGATTTTGTCAATTGATTTGTTTGTTTTAACATCGAAATGCACTTGTTGCGAAGATGAGCGCTGATTATTTGGTCCCACGAAAATTAGCATTTTTCGCTGGGGCAATTTTCAATGAATGCCATTTGTTATTGAATATGCAAATGGTGGGGAAATTGCTAATTCCCACACCCCAACACACACTCATGCCCGTGAATAAGAGAACCATACACGCATAAATCCATCACCACTCGAATCCATTCGGGTTTCATTCATTTTATCTCATCCACTTGATATTGATCTCCATTCGATAAAATCGAATTAACATTGGCAATTAATGAATGACTGTAATTTAGGCCGATTAGCACGAGAGAGAACACAATTCAGGAATGGAGAGATGTGTTACAAAAGGGAAAGAGTGTGAGAGGAAGATACAGATAAAAAGAGAGAGTGAGTGAGAGACACAGAGAGAGTGTAGAGTGAAACGACCAAGTGAAAAAGGGAAAAAGAGCGAATATGAGCGAAGAGTTAGAAGAGAAATGGAACCTCACGAGAGTGAGCGCACGAGACAGAGACAGAGACAGAGACAGAGACAGAGACAGAGACAGAGACAGAGACAGAGACAGAGACAGAGACAGAGACAGAGACAGAAAGTGACTTGAGTAGACGCAGGATTTGTGTCGCGATGCGTGCCCATCCATTATTCAAACTATGTTGCCGCTAATAAAATGAATGGCCGCCGTGTGTAAACTCAGTGGAAATGGCACACAATATAACACAATTAACACCATATTACTATGGTCGTAATACGCGCATTATTTCATTTATTATTATTTCATTCCGTTTTTATTCCAATGTTATCGGTCATTGAATGCATACAAATATATCCGTCAACGATATAAATAATTTATAGTCGAAGAATGAATGGCACAGCAGCGAAAAAAAAGTGCGTCAATAAAATGGATTGCATTTGGCAAAAGACGGCTTTAAATAGACCCAGAAATGAAATGGTGTGAAAGAGATAGGGAGCAAAAAAAAAACCGGCATTCGCCTACGAAAAATGGGCCTGACAAACAAACAAACGATTGCATTCAGAATGTTTCACACACACACATTCAGCGAGAGAGCGAGAAAAGGAGTCGAGTGTTATGCGCGTCAAATAAATGCAACCATTGAAAATTGTAATGGATTGCAATGAATTTATTTATCAACGACACTTACTCCATGCACAGTACAGCATTTTATCTATTCCATTCGCCATGAAGCGAACTTTTGAAACATTCCAGCCACGGCCATAAACAATTGCCATTGAACAATGCTGTCATCGGTAATGCTTGATTTAGTGCACTTTCGACACACCGAACAAAATGTTCGGCCAAATCATTTCGAAAAATTCGCACGCAGCAACTTTTTTTTGGGGCGAACGAGAGCTCATCATTAATAAATAATTGATATCGATGCGGAATTCGTTGAGCGAATGAGAGAGAGAGAGAGACAGAGAGCACTCGGTCCGAAAATGCAACAGGCGAAATGTGTGTTTAAGACACATTCTCGAAATGGATTTCAATTGCAATTCAATTGGATTCACTATTTCGAAAGTGATCACAAGAATTTCACGAGAATATATTCGATTCGCATTGGTGAAAAAGTGAAAGAAAATTCGATTCGTGTCTGTTTTTGAACTGTAAAAAAACAAACGAAACAAATCGCTAGCTATTGAGTTGTAAATGTGCAAAGTGGAAAAGAAGAGCGATAGCACGAAATGAAATGTGTTAAAATTAAATCGACAATTGCACATCCAACGAAATTAAATGTGCGGCCCGAGATATCGACTCCTATTTTCACATATACAACCAAAGAGAGAAACACTGATCAAATGATTTCGATACTTTGTTTTGTGTGTACAAACAAAAACCAGAAATTTGCCCCTCATTCGAACTCTCACACACTCTCGCTCGCTCTTGCTCTCTCTCTCTCTCTCTCTCTCTCTCCCTCTCTCGAATGTGTGTAAGTACTTCGATGACTGTTGTTTTTTGTTCATCATTTTATTTGCTTATCGCTTTCGGGATGCATTTCGTTGCACAATTGATCTATGCATTTTGAGTTGAGCTATCGACTCTCTCTCTCTCTCTCTCTTTCTCTCTCTCTCTATCTATCGCTCTTTTTCTCGAAAACAGACGTCGACACACAAAAATTGAGAGAGAAAAACAGACACTATTTATTAAGTCAAATCGCAGAGAATCGCTTCACTGCACTCATTATTGACAAAAGCCAAAGCAATCTCTTTCCCGCTTGATTCAAAACAATTCGATAGCGAAGCACAATTCGAATGTGTGTACTTGGCTCGGCCATGCACTAATGCTCTCAATACCACCGCTCTCTCAGCATGGATTTGGAATCGAATGCACCGAATTTCCAGCCAAAGTCAAGAGCTGGAGTGAAAAAAGGACGGAGCAAAAGAAAGAGAGAGAGAATGAGAAGTGAAGAAAAAATTGAAAGTACAGCAATTAAATAGCTCATAGAAGAGTCTGACTGCATGTTTGAAGTGATCATATGAGAACCGAATTTGTTTGTTTGTTCATGACCCGACGTTTGGTTTAGTTTTTTATTTCACTGGGCGATAAGATTAGTGTTTGCGCGCGAGCGCTCCATCTCTTTCTTTCCCTATTCAACAACAGAAAACATCACGAACACAAAAACATTGAGTGTCTTTGATGATGCAGCGACATACGTACAAGTGCACGTACGAACGAATCAATCGCCGATAGCTATTTTTCAAACTGCGATCGAATTATTTTGAATCGAAGTATTTTATTCCACCCAATCGGATAACATTCGAAGATAAGGATTAACTCGGTACACCAATTCGAATGTTGCGATTTTTTGAATGTTGCAACAATGATTTGCGTACGGTGTTCAACGAGCACTGCCAGCATTGAATGGTTGACGAATCTTATCGCAGCATCCAGTTAAAAAGTCAATATTAACTGTACATTTGCTGCGTTGTTTATGTTTTACTTTCAAGTTCGGCAGCGCCACATTGCCAATGATTTCAACAAATATGAAACTTCCAATTAGCACGGGCTCCAACAAAATGAAAAGAAGAACCTCAAAAGAAGAAATGTGCGAACAAACAAAAAATAAAGAAAAACAACGTAAAAGACTAGATAATCAGTTGAATCAACATGAGAAGAAGACATAGCAACGGCAACAACGAAATCTGTTACTCTCTCGTAGACAATATGAATTGTTTGCGACCATCGCTCACACATAAAACTCCATTCACTTGGGATCGCTGGTCGTCTTCGTTTTTGTAAACATCAAAATGCTACCAACTGGTCATCTTTCCTTTTCGATCGGCAAGGCTGGAGCGCAATTCTTGGGCACAATTTCAAAACAGTGACAGTTTGGCATTTTCTCTGTCTCGCAACTCATTTCTGAACGATGAACGATATGCGCTGCTGAATCGTAAATTGTTGAACGTTTTCATGAGATTCATCTACACTCTAGCCCGTATCTAATACATATGCATGAACGATGGTGCGAATCGAAAACTTTGTAACATGATTTATGGCTCTTCATTCAAATTTGAAAAAAAATAACCTGGTGTCCAGTCTCGTTTTTTGCTCTCTTGTTCTGTTGCTCTTTTGGCCTCTCTTACTCTCTTTCTCTCTCTCTCAGACCCTCGTGCTTCGTCTTACATGGATCCGTTTCGCTCCTTATCTCTATCATTCTCCCACTCTTTCATTCTCATGCTCTTTTACTCTCATTGCCAGGCCCATCGAAGGCGATCGTCATCGAATCTATTTATTCATCGTATGCAAATTCAACCGAAAAGTCGATAGCATAACTGGCAAATCGAGAAAAAAAACAAAGCAGTGAATAAAAACAAATCTCCGGTACGGTGTTAAAATACGTTAACATTAAGCATTGAAAATCTCGTCGACGCTGGCTTAGGCACGAATGAAAGAAACTGTTTGTCAGTTGATAAGAAAGATGTTCCATAAATCCCCCAAGAGAGTTATATCATTGTCGTAAAACGATGACAGTTCACATTCATTAGATGCATCGTTCATCGCCATTGCCATCGAAGAAATGACACTGTTCGTCCCCATCGAATTACCACCGAGAGTAGTAAACCAAACCGAGAGTAGTAAACCCGAACCCATCATGTTCTAATGAGGTTGAAAGGAAATGTGTTTTTATTTTAGTGAATTTTCGTCGACGGAAAATTATCAACTGGTTTTTGGAACGCGGGCGAGGGAAGTGAAACGTTTGAAACGGGGAACGATGCATACCACATATGGCACACATATTTGCACAGGCCAACCGAAAAATTAAAGCGACGAATTTTAAAAATAACAACAACCGTCGTCGAACCTCGTTTCACTCGAGATAGTGATGTGTGAGAGTGTGTGTGTGTGTGTGCGTTTGAGAGTGTGGTTCACTACACGCATTCGGTGTATCAAGGGCATACAGTGTGTGCCACAAACTCAATGCAAACCAACTCAAATGAGCTAAGAAAAAGCAAAGGCATTAAAAATGCATGACCAATATGTGTGCGAGCCATATCAGCTGTGAGAACGATTTAATATGGACGCCTTGACGGTTTCGCACAAAAACCACACCAAATTTTCAAACTCGACTGTTTTTTCGGTTTGCTGACGCTCATTTCAGCAAATTGCTGTTCAGCCTCAAGTAACTGAAATCGTTCAACTACAATTGTTTCAATTCTAGTGAATGACTTTTAATTAAAATCGACAAGAGAATGAAAAAAAAAACTCATATAGATGAAATAAACTCATAAAAAGATGATGAAATAGAAATGAAATGTCGCAAAACCAAATGTTTTACAGTGTCTGGCTGAAGCGAACGAAATTTATGATGAGAACAATTTCGATAAGAACATTTCGATTCTTTCGAACAAGACATTGTTTCGATTGAATAACACCAACGAAAAAGCGTTTAAAACCCCCAATGGATTGGAAGCAAGAAACGAGAATTCATCAGCTGAACCGAAGTGTGTGCGTATGTTTTTCTATTGATCTCAACTCTCAGCTGTACAATAGTCAAAAATGAATTGTTGGCTTTTTAGCAGCAGCAACAGCAGCAGCAGCGGTGGCATAGACACGCAATCGATGTGTCTACTCGAAGATTGTTTAGTTACCATACTCGTATCGCCTGTGCGTAAAACAGGAATAAAAATCGACTGTGTGTGTGTGTGTGTTAAACTGTGTTGCAAACGATGTGTGGCTGCTCCTGTGCTAAGTGTGTGTGTGTGTGTGTAATTTCTATGCGTTGCATACACACAGAAAGAGAAAAACGGAGCACAGCAGCACGTTTAACAATAGTGCAATATATAGCAAAAAAAAAAAATATATAAAATACATCAAGCAATGTGCCGATAGAGACGCACAGACTTGCAGAACAAAAAGAATAAATCTCTCGTTCGTTCATTCAATTGCATTGTGTGCTACACATGCACAAGGCGACAAATAAATTGCCCGCTTACAATCGACAAGACTACAAAGAGATTGCATTTCATTTATATTGCTGTTGTTGTTCAGCACAACGCTCTCTCTGCCATTCGATTTATGCGAATAGAAAATTAATTTTCACGCACTATCATTGAGCATTTGGTCGTTTGTGCGTGCGTTCCCGACCTCGCTTCGTCTAAATTCGAACAATTTTGACTTTCAATTAATTGTTTCCAATTTCGTTCACTCTTTTGCCTTCTCTTCTCTCCTTCACCCTGTCTTCCTTTCCCTTTCTTTCTCATTCGGCTATACGCACTTCAAAATGCCCATTTTTGCCATACTCGTCGTTGTCGCTCGACCGAATTGTGTGTGTCCTGTTTCGGTCGAATCGAAATTGAAGTTGATTTTTACCATTTTATTTGGTAGAGAGGATATCTATTTTACATGTGTTTGTGTGCGTATGTTTGTGTATCGGTTAGACCCTATATCGTTCGCACACCATCGTCCATGTATTTGTGTGTTTGATATGTAGTTTGGTATGCGTGCATATATGCACCAGGACTATTATTATACGCACGTATTACGTATAAACTTTTTTCTCTGTTTCTGTCTTTCTTTCTCTCTATCTCTCTCCCTCTGTCTCTACATGGTTGTTTTTGTTCACTATATCATCTATTCATCGATTGTTGTTGTTGTTGTTTTTTTTCTTCAGTGTTTCGATGTGTCGATGGTTGCTTGGCTCTTGATATGCATTCGACTCTCGCACGAGACTAACATACCGAAAAAAAGGGAATCGATCCTAGAATCTACGCATATACGCATCAAAATATTACGTGATATTTATAAGTGAAATGCGATGTACAACGCATAAAAAAGAGGCTTAATAAAAAATTAAAACCGTTCCTGGGCCCTGACTGACTGACTTTGAGGGACGAACGATGAAACGAGTAGAAGTCATATTCCGCGCGGAAAACATATTCCAACAAGAGCTACAAGAACCCTGAAAACAGTGGTTCCTTTTATGAGATTGCCAGCGGGTTTCGTTTTGAATATCTCTTTTTCGAAATGAATTTTCATGTTTGGAATATCTTTTCTTCATATTTCGTTGCTGCCCGTCGTTCAAATGGTATTTCAGTCGTTTGTGTATGTGTGTCTCATTAGAATAGAACGGGCATCAATCGCCCCTTTTGTACATTTGTTTGCTTGCCATCTCTATCTATCCATTATAATTAACTGCTATCTCTTTTCACTCAAGTACACTTCCGAAAGGCACAAATCATTAGGAAGCAATCGGTGTTCGGGCCAAATCAAATCGCTCATTTATTGAAGATAATTATAATGATCTAAGAACTTTGTATTGTGCGACTTTTAGTCGGTTCTTTTTGATTTTTTGTTGTTTTTTTTTCTGTGTCTGTGTAGCTGAAACTGAAAACTCTGTGTCCGATGCGGCGTCTTCAAGTGTGTCTAATCGATGATTTCGACTGGGCCCAATGAAAAGTCTAATTATGACATTATTTTCAAATGGTTGATGCGCGAGAGAAAGGTGGATGGAAATGCATTTGTGTGTGTGGGACTAGCACACACATACGAACGAGCACGCTTACACATACACCATTCACCATATAAATGGCTGCGTCTGCTAGTAGTGGTAGCATTGCATAAAGGGACAAAAAATGGCAATAACAAGAATAAAATTGAGAAAACAACACACACACACGGAGCAAGAGACGAAGAGGAAAAAGGAAACAAACTCATCACAAAATGATATGCCGGCAGCATTAGCATCATAGCAATCATCTTTCGGCAGCACTTCAACATCAAAGCATATTCGGTTCAACACAATATTTATCCGATTCAAACACCACTTTCAAGTTCAATTTTGTGTGATGTACATGATGCACTTTGACTGCCATTGTTTTTTTTTTTTTGGTGTTTAAAGGAAGCAATTGCTGGATAAGCTACGGAAATCATTTGCTGGACGGATTTTTTCTTCGTTTCTTTGTTTAAATTCGCTGCTTAATTCACAAACAATGCTAACTAAGTGAATTTATTTATTCATATGGCGAAATGAATTTCAATCGAGTCTTAATGCACCAACAAAACATATGTCTGTCTCTAGTTAAGAGAGTCTCTCTACCAAAATGACGATTTTCAACCATCAATGCCGAATTTGTTGGTAGCAATGGAAAATCAAACTACCCTCAAAAATGTGAAATGGTCGTCGGCGGTGGAAAAGCGAAGCGTTGCATCTATTTCCAGTGTGTGTAATCAATTTTGTTGATTTCTTTTTTATTCTTGCGACACACCAGCAGCACACAAAATGCCGCACTCAAACACGCGACACATCTCACGGTCTGTGTGTGTTTCACACTCGATTTCTCTGTCTGTCTGTATCTCTGTCTGTCAGTATGAGCGTGTGTGCTTGACACTGGCGAAAGAACAAAACCACTTTCTCTCTCTCGTTCTCTTTCAAACACACACTCTTCCTCCATCTTGCCCTCCCTCTTCCTCTATCTCTCTCTGTCTGTTTCAGCGATGCACAAAAAAAAAAACGATATTGTTTTGAATAAAACCGAAAAAGAACTTTATGTGTATAATCGGATCCGGTCCGGTACGTTTGCTGCATGCATATCAAACGAATAACTAAATTTCATTTAAGAATCATCCTTTAGAACCTTTTGAACAAAACTGATGTCGATATCTCACTCTGAACCGAAACGAAAAAGAAATATTTCCGTGATTTTTGTCTATCCGATTCGTTAAATCACTTTGCATTTATCAAAGAATATTGATTGTAATCGATGGGGCATTCGGTTGAGAGAATAAATCACTTGAAAATCGAATGGGGAAAAAAACGAGACCCAAATCGATTTCGATGAAGCAGAAAATATAAGCTGATCAAATGTAAAGAGTAGCCCAAACTTGACAACAGAATTTGTAAGAAAAAAAAACTGAATAAAATTGAATTGCAATTACTTTTGATGATAAACTGATGCGATTTTGACTTTTTTCTTCTTCAAATTTTGTTCATAATAACGAACAATTTTTTGTGTCTCGAAAAAAAAAAACTTTTGTTATTTCAATCGATTCACATTAAAACACACGCACACTTTGAATGAAATGTCTATCAAAAATTTTGGTGATTTCGGTTGTTTTGATCACTACTCACTTGAACAAATTTGTATTTCTATTCGAACAGAAAAAAATCCGTTTCGTACGAACCTTCACCGACAAACGCTACTCATTGACTGAATGGGACACCGAACAAAAAACGCCGTACACAACAATATCACCAGAGAGAAAGACAGAGAGAAACAACACGCACATCGACAACATACAACAACACAGCGGCAAGAGTCGCTCTACACACCGATAACTAGAATCTATCGCTGAGCGCAAAAAAGCCGCACACATACACACACGTACCCAGTTTGAGTGAGTCTCGTTGAATGCGCACACAGAACCACAGATCGAATACGATGTCGGTTGTCGACTATGCTGTAGTAGTGTGTGTGTGTGTGCCGAATTTAAAGAGAGAATAAAACGAAAAAAAAAAAACATTCGCAAATCAGCATACGGTTCTATTCGATAAAAATACAATTTGCTTAGAGAATACATCATCGAAACACGATTTATTTGCACAATGTTGCTGTTTTGCTTCGCAACCGATGTTCATCTTCCACGCATCTTTTTCTCAACTTTAGACGAAGTGTCGATTTTTCAAACGTTCGGCGAGAGAGCCAGAAAAAAAATTACCCAATTTGAATTCATTAAACCAAAACCACACGTTGAAATTGTGTGTAATCAGTCGTGTTCGTGTGATAATTTTGCATAATTTGAGACACGCGGCAAAATGATGAAAATTTGGAATTTGAACCGTAATTTTGTGCACGAACACATCAAATCGTTGATAATTCGAAAATAATGCATCGCAAAACTATGTAAACATTGAATTTTCACGTGATTTTTTTCAATATCCTATCAAATTACATCGTTTATTTCATTTTCCCTCTTCTTTGTTTAATCAATTGGAAATGCTCGATTCATATTAAAAAAAAATCTAATTTGAATTTTTTGCCAATGACCATTAAACGCACTCGATTCACGTCTACGGTCGCCATATTTGTTGTGGTGCATGTATCATTGAACGAAACAGATGGTTTTCGCTATATATTTGTTATTTACATAGTCTGTCGATGATTTGATCTCTCTGTCTAACCCATCAACTCTATCGTTCAAACTCGTTTCACTTGTACTGCAAACTGTGACCAAGTTCATGCGATACAATTGACATATTGTCAAATCAGTTTTTTTCCACACTAGTTATCAAATGTGTGAACTTGGTGTGCATGCAAATAGGTGCGAGTAGAAGAAGAGAACCAGAAAAAAAATTGCAAATTCAAGAAAATAAAAGTGAATCATCTCGTTCTCTTCGATTTCTTAAATAGGATCTTATCTATAAGAAAAAACACAATAATTGTTGGGAACCGAAGAGCGTGCGATTGAGTCGCCATAAATTATCATCAACAATGTGCTAAATCAATCAATTGGACCTCGAATTTTTGGACAATTTCCAACCAAAAATTTCGATCGATCATCAGAAACAGAAAAAAAAAGTTTTTTTCGTGTGTTTTTTGATACGGAAATAGAATAAAAACACACCAACACACGCACAAACATCGATTCATCTGTTTTTGCTGGAGGTGCTTACATTTCAGACTGTGCTCACAAGTTGCAGTGTTCAGATTTTTTTTCTTTTCATCTAAAAAATACCAAACAAACGAAAAATAGAACCAAAACCCAGAGAGAAAGAGAGAGCGGAATAAAAACAACCAAAAATGACTCTCGATCTACTGCAAATTGTGCCATCAGAAATTCCCAGACCCTCCAAACATGGTAAATCGTATTTTAGCAAGGGCGACTTCAAATATTTTCACTATTGTTGTGATAACTATAATGATGTGGTGAGTGATGATTTGACTTTTTTTTTGAAGAAAATTCATTTTTTTTTATTAAAAAAACTTTTTTCCTTTGAAGTTAACAAGAAAGTTCTTATTTTCCGCTTTTGCAATGTTTTTGTTCTCGTTTTTGTAAACAATATTGAATTTAATACGAAAAACAACAACAAATAAGATTGCGAAATTAATTCAAATTTGGTATAATTGAGCAATTCACTTAATATTTGCGCTCCTTTTTTGATATAGGGATGGGGCTGTGCTTATCGGACACTTCAATCGATGTGCTCGTGGATAGCGAAAAATCGAAATGCAATGGACGTCGATGCTAATCATCATATTGGCACAAATGATATTCCCTCCATCGAAGAGATTCAACAAACACTCGTCAATATCAACGATAAACCTCCCGAATTTCTCAATTCAACGGATTGGCTTGGTGCATTAGAGGTAAATCGAACGATAAAATCGGTTTTTGATCGTAAATTGGGGATTTTGAATCGAAATCGGGCACGCATGAATCATGTGACATTGATATTGTGTGTGGATACCCGTGTGAAAATAAAATGACTAAAAGTCACACAGTTGTATGTAACTGTATGTAGTGATACACAACTAAAACTGGCTAAGTTGATTGAAATCATGCATTTTGTATGGAGACAATCACGTTTAGTTATTCTTACAGTCAGTCGACTAATTTGGGACATTTTGACTAAGAGTGTTTTGTGATTAAAGTTAACTGCAGTTGCTTATTTTGTTCGAGACAATCACTTTTAGTCAGTCAAAATGTCCCAAATTAATCGATTGACTAGACAGTCAAAAATTTTCCACACGTCATTACCCGTGTGTGTCTGAAGAAAATCTCTGAAAAAAATGTGCTTTTTCATTTACACGAATTTTTTTCTTTAAATTTCTCCCATTAAATCTAAAATGCTTTTTGCTTTTTTCCCTTCTCCATACAGATCTTCTATGTGATTGACACACTGTACGATATATCATGTCGCATACAGGTAATCGATGATTTCGATTATTCTTATTTAAAGAAAATTTGTGTCTTTATATCAAATATCTTTGAACAAGCTTAAAATCTGTTTCCTTCTTATTTTCAGCACATCCCAAGTTGCCATGACATCAAAAAGTATAGTAATATATTGAAATTTTATTTCGAAAATTTTGGCGGTTTGGTGATGATGGGTGGCGATTTGGATGCATCCAGCAAAATGATTGCTGGTATTCACATAGTCGATAACGATGCATACTTGCTTGTTGTGGTAAGTGTAGTCGGTTGATGGCATTGTGCCACCTCTCTTGTGTTTTCACATTCTTGTGATTCCCAGAAATGCGTCTTATTTTGTCCAAAACGATACAAAATGTTGTCACAATTTGAACACAAACGTCCACATACACATGTACATGAATCGCAGGCAAATGGGCACTTATAGAGGCATTGATTAAGAAGCGACACACATTCAAAGCGAGTGAGGAAGACAATTTGACGAAAGGGAAAGTAAATAGGGAAAGGACGTACCGGTTGAGATCAGCTGCTGTTGAAAGGGAAATGGTCAAGATCTAGTTCTGATGTGTCGATGTTGGAATTTGGCAACGAGGACGACGGAGTGCCCAACATATGGACGGCAGCCATTTGCGTAGAATGCAATCCATCCGCATATCAGAATGTGTTCCGATAACAAAACTCTCTTCCATCCACATACGCATACAACCTCAACTGCAATGTCGCTCGCCTCACCATCTCCTCCGCATCAAATCGAATTGCCATTTGAAAACGTTCAAACTAATGAAAGAAAAACTTATAATTTGTATTTGAAGGTGCTATTATAAGATTTTTTGTTGTACCCCAAAGGTTTTTATCATATATTACTTTATTTCCATTAAAAACAAAAACAAATATTGGTGTTGCGAACATAAGAGCTAACATTAACTTGATAACTTTTTTTACATTTTTCCATAAATCACTTTGAATAACGCAAAATATTTCTTTTTCTTCTTCTTTTCTTCGGTCGGTGTCACACACACACACACACACACAGGATCCACATTATGTTGGTGTACCAAAATCGGTGGATGACCTTATTGATCAAGGTTACATACGATGGCAGCACACATCCGATTTTGTCGATAGTTCATTTTACAATTTATGCTTACCTCAATTGAAATTTATGAGTGACTAGTATTGCATTCAATCCGTTTACCAAATTCAATGTAAATGTATTTGTTGTGCGCGTCAACAGCGACGTCGACGATCTTCCAACGCCTATTTTAATATTGTACAAATTGTGTCCATTTACTACTTTCGGTTGTCATGACGCGCCATTTTATTTCCTCCGCAGTTCTTGAATTCTTTTTTTTTTTTTTTTCTCGTTATTATCGTTGTCGTCGTCGGAAAAGAGAAAGATCCGCGGCTGGTGCACAGTTCATTTAAAAACTCAACAAGCAATCGGTTTAACACAAAGAAACACAAAGCATTCATTAAATGGTGAGAAAAAAAATTGAAAAGAAAATTAATTGTTTGTAAAGAAAATCTTGTACGTGCTTTTAGTACATTTATTTTTAGAATTTTAGAATGAGAAAACAAACCAACACAGAGAATCTTAAAAAAATGACTATAAAGAGAGAGAGGAAATTTATTTTGACATAGAAAAATATAAATATTGTTGATAATGTTGAAATAAAGGTTTAAAATGAAAAAAAAAAAAACGCATTTTTTATTTGCCGATTAATCGGATTGCAGAAACAGATTCCTTTTTAAGGAAGATTTTCTTTTTTCTAGGTTTTGTTTAAGATATCGAAAATAACGATTCGAGATAATTTCTAAATCAACAAAATGTTTTCATTGGACTTCATTTATTTATGGTACGCTTCGCTCGGCTCTGCAGCTAGGTCGCTTCGCGACTTTCTTAAATAATATGGTCGTCTATCTTTATCATAATCAAATCGACAAAAGAACTTGTTTCATTTTCACCGTCGCTGCTTGACTGTCACTCAAACGTTATAAACAATACACATATTAAAAACCGAAAGTGCAATCCTTAAACCCGTTCTTTAAAATTTGTTGCTCTAAAATTTCTAATTTGAGAATTCGTCACTGAATTCATGTTCTCGTTTAATTTTTTTTTCTATAATCGACTTATCGATTACATTATGATGACTATCGAATGGATTCGAATTCGTTTTCATTTCATTTTAAGTCGATTATTTATTAATGATTCAAGAGTTTCAATTTAAACAACATATTCCGAGTAATCTATTACGAAATTTTAACACTTGCAATATACCAATTTGAATACCATTTCTGCTTGCAATATACATCAAAACATGTGAATGTTCACCATAATATTGGGTGTATGCATTAATTTTAAAGAATTTTTGAGTTCATAGATACATTTATTAAAATAATAAAATGAATGAGTATATTAACCAATGAATTCGCCATCGTTAGCTATGACTTCTAGCCATCTTTCAGGCAGCTTGTTGATTCCTCGCTTGAAGAAGTCCTCGTCTTTTGAGGTTATGTAGTCATCAACCCATTTTCGCACTTCTTCCTCATTTTGAAAGCGTACTTCAGACAGGGCAATCTGCATCGATCGAAATAGATAGTAGTCGCAAGGAGCAAGGTCTGGAGAGTACGCGGGCTGATCAAGCCGATCCCAACCGAGCTGCTCTACCTCATTTTTAAAGATTGTTGCACGATGTGGCTTAGCGTTGTCATCGTGGAACAAAACATTGTGGTGTTTTCGAGCTATTAATGGCCGTTTTTCATCCAATGCATGAGCCAAATCATTCAATTGGCGTCGATAGCGTTCCTTATTAATCGTTTGATCTGGTTTTAGCAGCTCATAATACACGACTCCTTTCATATCCCACCAGATGCACAGCATAACCTTATCGCAATGAATATCTCGTTTTGGCTGGGATGGCGCCGGTTGGCCGGGATCAACATACGCTACTTTACGCTTGGGGTTTTCGTAATGAACCCACTTTTCATCGCCGGTAACAATTCGATATAAAAAACTGTGTTTTTTGTGCTTTGCAAGATGTTTTTTGCATGTGAGGATCCGTGCTTTGCGCTGCTCTTCAGACAGTTGATGTGGAACCCACTTTCCCAGCTTGCGAATCTTTCCCATTGCATGCAAACGTCTTGAAATGGTTGCTTGGTCTACGTTCAACTCCAATGCAAGTTCTTTTTGCGTTTGACATGGATCTTCATCCAATAATGCTTGCAATTCGTCTTCTTCAAACTTTTTTGGCTGACCTGACCGTTCTTTGTCTTCCACGTCAAAATCTCCAATTCGGAAGCGTCGAAACCAGTACTCACATGTACAAGACGATGGAGCATTAGAGCTACCATAAGTTTCCAAAAGCAAACGATGACTTTCAGCAGCAGTTTTCTTCGAACTATAGAAGAAAAGTAATACTTCCCGCAAATGCTGTTTTTTCGGCACGTATTTTGACATGATTGTAAGTGAAAAAAATTATGTTGTTTACGCTTTGGTAAAATAAGACTTACTGAAAACTAATGTAAAATGATGTGGCTTTCACGTGAATATAGTTTCAGTATGGCCCGATGCGTTATAGTACAAGTTACGCCATTTGTAGTGGAAATTCTTTAAAACTAATGCATACACCCAATATATTGAGGGATCATAATAATTGAATGCTTTCAATTTTCATTTCCAACTTTTACTTCTTGAATAACTAATGCGTAGGCGAGACACTTTGTCCCTTTCTCTGTTCATCGGTTGATTGGGATCTTGCTCTCTTCTTACTTAAACGATCAGATTTTTGACGATTTTCACTTTGTCTGTGTATTCAACTAGTTACTTCTATACTCGAACTATCAGCTTCAAGACGAAGATAACTCTTTATTTTTTTCTTCTGAACGTCTTCTTATTTGAGTTCATGTTGTTGTTTTTTTTTTCAATTTATGGGTGATTGCGCGTCATTTTTCATCAAATAAATAATGTCAATTTAATCAAAATGCATACTATGATAATTCGCCTTGCATTTGAAATTAATTTAATCAGATTATTCATGTTTGATGCAGACAGTGCTTGTATTCATTGTTTAAGTATAATTAATACGTGGTCTAATTAAATTATTCATGGCTATCAGCTAAGGATACAAATGAGTGGTCAGGAATAAAAATGACTAAAGTTGAACCACTTATGGATAACCGCAACACAATATTCTTGATTTTTAAAAGTGCAACATAAATTCTCTTCGCTTGAAAGTGAATCGTAAAATATCTGTGGACTATAGAAATCGTGTTTCACTTTAATTGAAGCAAAAATGTTCGATACACTTTTGAGTCCATTGAAATGATGAATCATTTTAATGGTGGTTTGGGTTGTGATTTGGCTTCGGAGTGAAAATTAAGTGATAAGGAGCGCGAATTACGATGTACCAATGGTTTGGGCACATGAAATACTGTATGAAAATCGAAAAGAAAATTTTTTTAACTTTTTTTTTCGATTTTTGCCTGTTTCGGATCGTCGACATGGGAAGTTTGTATGAAAACCTCGGAGCGCCGCTGCTATTGTATTGGCTTCTATGGCCAAATGTACACATGGAAATATCTCGAAAACGGCTGGGTAAATCGGCAAAACGGTCCGTGATGTCACTCCCGAAGGGAGTGTTAACACCCGGCTGGTTTGACAGCCTAGAGTACAAATCCTAGAATACATACTCCGTAGATGGCTTATTAGTAGTATTTTCTGATAGCTAGGTGGAGAGGATAGAGCAGAAGACCTTCACAAAAATTATCAATTATGTTCTGTGCAGTGGGCGATAGTAACGTATAAATTACAAATTAATAGCTATCAGAAAATAACACATCGGTCAATAAGTCCCGAGCCTAACCACCAAGTGGCAACACTAATGTCAAACCCATATCATTTTCGAAAACTACAACCTTTTTTAGGAATCCAGTCAAAATTTGAGCCAAATCCGACCATCAGTTCGCTAATTACAGCACTTTAAATGAAGCAATTTTCCAATTTTCCAAAATCATGGAAAAACTGCATTTCTCCTCTCGATTTGACACATGTATTCCAGAAGAAAAACGAGCAGGAGTACCAAACCCATACTATGATTAGTTTATGGCATCCTTAGGCTTTCGAAATCAATCATTAGATATGGAAGAATTGAATTTATGCATAGCCATAAGAGCGATTTTGTCGATAAGCCTCCAAATTGTTCAAAATATGTGGTTTTGGAAGAAATCATTGCCAAAATCCGTTAAGTGATATCGGAATTCTCAAATGTGATAGTTCATAGATTTGCTAAGGCCATAGGGCAACTAACTCAAGCTATAGTTACAACTTTGCATGGATATATGCATATGAAATACTCAATCGAAAAAGCCTTGCCGCGTTTTTGGATATGGAGTAGATAGAACAGTTTTTTGGGGATTCGAAGCCCGTTTGGAGCTGTATAAGTAAAATTTGAATAGGGTTTTGCCTTTATATATTAGAATTAATGTATTTTGAGTTCATTTGAATAGATTCGATCTATAAATTGCGGGTAGAAATCGCCAAAAACGGTTTGTAGCGACCAAGGTCGCAAAATATGAGTTCGGGCATTATTAGTGGATTTAGGTATAGAAAAATATTCGCGAACCAGTGGGAAAGATATAAAACAACATGAAAAGTCACTTATGCATCATTTTAGACCTATCCGAATGTCAAATCTTGATAAAACATAGCAAATTTGGCGAAGAAAACTATGTTGTTCAAATGCGAGTTTCATCCAGGTCAAAGAACTGTTTATATGGTGATATAATTGAACGAAATTGGTTTCAAACTGCTTCACTAACCATTGTATTTTTTAGGTCTGGTCATTCTCTGAACTCTCCACATGAATATACTTGAATACAATGCATCAGAAGAAAGTTATACCGTTTTAACGGCAAAATTGAAGCATTTTCGGGAGTCTTTCTCTCGTATAGCTGTAACTAGCAAACTGATGGTCGGATTTGGCTCAAATTTTGACTGGATTCCTAAAAAAGGTTGTAGTTTTCGAAAATGATATGGGTTTGACATTAGTGTTGCCACTTGGTGGTTAGGCTCGGGACTTATTGACCGATGTGTTACTTTTAATAAGCCATCTATGGAGTCGCCGCCCTGATAAACTATCAGTGCATCTACCGCTTCAGTACAACAACAAATATGTAAGTATATATATTTACTTATATTTGTGCATTATTTGCAAGGTATTGGCGATATAGGTGACGAATGAATAGTATTTTCGAGCAATAGTATTACCCTCCGGTTCTATGGAATGGGACTTTGAACTAATTTTTCTGCGTTTTTGGTTTTCGGGATTTTGGATTCGGCATTTTGGTTTTCGAGATTTTTTTTCGGATTTTTTTTTTCGAGTTTTTTTATCGGTATTTTGGATTCGGAATTTTTTTCAGTGTTTTTTTTTTCGATGTTTTATTTTCGGCGTTTTGCTGTTTCGGAATTTGAATTTTCTTCATTTTGTGTGGTTACCCTTTGTTTCACTATTATTTCAAACCAACTTTATGTTTCGGTTTTATTTTATGGGAGATTGGCGGGCCACGATTATTGTCACCCATTCAATTTGAAATTTTCTCTTTTTTCAGGCTAGTGTTTGACTTTTCGGATATTTTTTCTATAATCATTAGCGGGTATTATCTATGGAGCATTTCAACGATATGCTGTGCACTTTTATTGACC